CTGTCCCCCTGGGTAGAGTGATGTGGCTTCACAGCTCACAGCAACCTCCAACTCCTGGGCTCAAACGAGTCTCCTGCCTCAGCTTCCCAAGTAGCTGGGACCACAGGTGCCTACCACAACACCTGGCTATTTTTTGGTTGCAGCCGTCATTGTTGTTTGTCGGGCCCCGGGCTAGATTCGAACCCGCCACCTTAGGTGTATGTGGCTGGCGCCTTACCACTTGAGCCACAGGCGCTGAGCCATGTACTACACTTTTTGTGGAGTACACAGACGCAAACTTTTTAATAAGTGAAACATGGCTGAGTGTGGTGGCTGGAGCTGGTAGTTCCAGCACTATGGAAGCTGAAATTTGCCTAGTGGGACAAGGAGTTTTTTCATTGCATGCAGAATGGCTGCTGGCCTGCTCTGCAGAGAGGACCTGACCATAGGGTGGATTTAGGTTTCAGCAAGAATATTCTGTAACCCCAGTGTGACACCCATGTTTTCCTTTGAGAGTTCCAGGGGGATGAAAGCTCGCTGCCATCACCCGAGAGCAAAGGTCCTTGGCCTTGTGTTGGCAGTTGATACCTGGGTGTGACTCCTTTTCATTTTCACAAATCTATATACGATGTGGCCCCTTCCATCCTCTGTCTTTCTCTGGCCTTTCTGTCTCTCTTGGCAGATGGACTTGAGACCACAAAGGAATCTCTTGGTCAGGAGTGCTCCTGCCTGCCCCTCCCTGCATACTTGGGGGTCACAGCCAGTGGGTCATTACCGACTTCCATTCCAGTGCAACACGTGAGAGTGTTACTTATCCCTCAGTCCTGCATCCCCAGCCTTGGGTTTGCTTGTTTGCTGAAGCTGGTTTTAAAATCGGGAGTTTTGCAAGTAGTTGCAAATCCAGCTGAAATGGGTCCCCCCACCTCTCCTCTGTGTTAAGTCCAAATGGAGAAATTCCACAAACAACGTGAAAGGGAAAACCACCTTCCATTTCCTACATTCAAGCCTCAGTCTGACAGGCAGCCCATCCTGGGAAGGTGGCCCCTGCGACTGGTACCCACACTGCCACCCTTGGCAGCATATGGTGTTTAGGAGGCTTCTTATTGGGCCCCAGGGAGCTTGTCTCTCCCCTGTGTGCGGTTGAGTCAGGGCCTGTGATTTAATTATAGTCACTCTTCCAGGATGGAGTTGCTGTGCCACATCCCCACCAGTGCCTTTTGTTAGTGTGGCTCCTGCCTGGAACTCGGGCCACTCCCTCTGCACTTGAGGGACAGTCAACCCTTATCAGTGACTTTCTTTTGAGCCTGGAAGTGGGGTCCTTCCTTTTGTACTTGGGGGGCAGTCAACCTTTATCAGTGACTTTTTTTTTTTTTTTTTTTGAGACAGAGTCTCATTATGTCGCCCTCAGTAGAGTGCTGTGGCATCACAGCTCACAGTGACCTCAAATTCTTGGGCTCAAGCGATTCTTTTGCCTCAGCCTTCTGAGTAGCTGGGACTACAGGCACCTGCCACAACGCCCAGCTATTTTTAGAGACAGGTCTCACTCTTGCTCAGGCTGGTCTCAAACTTGTGAGTTCGGGCAATCCACCCGCCTCCCAGAGTGCTGGGATTACTGGTGTGAGCCACTGCCCGGCCTGCCAGTGACTTTCCTTTGCAGTGTGCCCACAGGAGAGCATTCCTCACTCAGCTGTCTCTGCAGCTGGAGTGGAACCTGCCTCCTAGGTTTGCTTATTTGTTTGCTGAAAGTCAGTTTGGAAAGTACTGGGCCCTGCCTGGGAGCAGTGATGAGAAGTCCCTATGGTCTGTTGGATTCTACAGTCACCTCTTCTCCTTGAAGTCGGCCCCTGACAGATGCCACTGTGCTTCATGTGGAATGGCTTCCATCTTTGACGGGGGGGCTGGGCTACCTGATACTGAGCTAGATTCTGGGGGTGGCTTTGTAAATGTCTGCCCTAGTCACCACCATGCTGTGATCACTGCAGGTAGCTCTGAGCCCAGCTCCCATGGTGTTCATCTACATGGCCGCTTGGAGTGTGTGTTCCCAGGGTGGGCAACAGGCTGGGCCTTCCCACCTGTGCACACTCAGGACTGGGCTGCTTGTTGGCTCCTGAAAGAGCCCAGTTCCTGTCTAGAACAGAGTAGCAGGTAGGCCACCACATTGACCTTTGTGTGGCCTGACATATCACCCCAGAGCCTGCAGTGACTGCCAGGTTCCTGGGGCCTCATCTCTGGTGGGGTCTGATGAAGGGGGTCTGGGGATTGCTGAGGGGAAGGGGAAACTTTCACTGAGACATAAGACAGAAGATGGCTCTGGACATGCCAACTAGTAGTACAGGTTAGAAAATAATCCAGCCTCAGCTTGGCGCCTATGCTCAGATGGTTAGGGTGCCAGCCACATGTACGAGGGCTGGCGGGTTCAAACCCGGCCCAGGCCTGCTAAAACAACGACAACAACAAAAACTACCTGGATGTTGTGGCAAGTGCCTGTAGCCCCAGCTCTTTGGGAGGCTAAGGCAAGAGAATTGCTTGAGCTCAAGAGTTTCAGGTAACTGAGCTGTAGCACTCTACTGAGGGTGACATAGTGAGACTCTGTCTCAAAAAAGGAAAAAGAAAACGATCCAGCCTTAAGAAGTCTGTCTAGCAGTATCCCTGTCAGAGGCTCAGATAAAGAGCCTCTGGCCAGATGAGCAGGAGAAGCATGATGTGCTGAATCACAGTGTGGGGATTCAGAAAGGTCTGGACAGGTTGAAACAAGCCTGTATTTAGGGATGCTGTTCACAGTTGTGAGAAGATGGGCAGCGCCTGTGGCTCAAAGGAGTAAGGCCCCATATGCCGGAGATGGTGGGTTCAAACCCAGCCCTAGCCAAAAAACTGCAAAAAAACCCCACCACAGTCGTGAGAAGATTCACACCACTTAAGCCCTTGGTCACTGCCTTTAAGCAAAGTTGAGCAGTTCACATGGCTCCAGATTCCCCTTCTGCTGGTTGGGGTCATGTCTCCACCCCAGTCCCAGGAACAATGCTGGGAACCAGGTCAGCCCCTTGTGTGGTCTCTGGAATGTTTTTCACATGAGCACAGCCTTTACTGCTTATCAGAGTCCTAGGCCTACGGGGTCAGAATGGGTGTGCATCATCTGGGCTGGATGTTTAAGCCCCTCAGGTGACTCTTCCGCCCACTGCAGTTGAGAGCCATGTCTTGAGACATCTTTTCCTATGTGGCAAAAGGGCCGGCCGCCTTTGGCCGCCTTTCCTATGCGGTGGGCTGGTACCCAGGGTTTCCACCTAGGGAGGAGTTGGTGGCTAACGCCACTGCTGCCTGCGGGCAGCACTGAGGGTTGCGCCACCTCCTGGCAGAGCCAAGGGAGTGTGGTTTTCCGTCACCCCTTATGGAGCTGTTCCTTCCTACCTTTTCCTCTGTAGGCTTGGGATGTCCATCTGTCAGCCGAGCACAGGCAGACTGTTTGCATTGCCTATCCCAGGGTCTGTCAGTTTCCATTGGAGGATCTTCCTCCTGTACTTGCTCTGACACACCCCGAGCAGCTCTCAGGCTACTGATCTCGTGCTGCTGTCTGCCATGTGCACATGGGTCTGTGCTGGCATCGTTCTTGCCTGCTGGGCTCCTTTCCTGACCCACAGATTTGCTGGGCCATTGCTTAACCACCAGGCCCGGTACACACTGTGATGTGTCTTCTTAGACAATAAGGTACTCCTTTTCCTGTGTATTTTTGTATATCATTTTAATCTTTTAGAAGAAAAGTCTTTACTCATTATCTTGTGTGTCTTGTGTGTGTGAGACATGCTGTCCAGGATACAGGCTCTCTGTTGAGTCTGAGACTCAGGCTCCCCCCAGAGCCTAAAGAAACACCTTAACTGTTCTCAGCCTAACTGTGTATCTCTCTCCGTCCTTCCATCAAAAGGGTAAGCTTGTCTGCCACAGACTGCTACATCGTGCATGAGATCTACAATGGGGAGAATGCCCAAGACCAGTTTGAGTATGAGCTGGAACAGGCCCTGGAAGCCCAGTACAAGTACATTGTGATTGAGCCCACCCGCATTGGCGACGAGACGGCGCGCTGGATCACCGTGGGCAACTGCCTGCACAAGACGGCTGTGCTGGCGGGCACTGCCTGCCTCTTCACCCCGCTGGCGCTGCCCTTAGATTACTCCCACTACATCTCCTTGCCCGCTGGTGTGCTGAGCCTGGCCTGCTGCACCCTCTACGGAATCTCCTGGCAGTTTGACCCCTGCTGCAAGTACCAAGTGGAGTATGATGCCTATAAACTGTCCCGCCTGCCCCTGCACACGCTCACCTCCTCCACCCCAGTGGTGCTGGTCCGGAAGGACGACCTGCATAGGAAGAGACTGCACAACACAGTTGCGCTGGCCGCCCTGGTGTACTGTGTCAAGAAGATTTATGAGCTCTACGCTGTATGATCTCAGTAGAGCAGGGGAGCAGTGAAACCACCCAGCCACAGAGACCATGGAGTGTTCAGGTGGCCAGTCACATTTTTTATGTGAGGCAGAGGAGCCTGGGAAGGTGTTTGGTTTAATATTTGTTATTTTTAAAAAATAACAGATCATGGGTGTACCCAGGGATTTTCCAGCTCATTACACTAAGATGTGGATTTCCACAACTCAAGAGGGCTGGGGTGTGGGGTCTGGCTGGGCAGTGGGACGTGGATGGAAGCAAACACTGCGGAGGCCATGGGTGCTCGGGGAGGGGGGCTTGAAAATTCTGTCCAACTGTACCATCCGGAGCCAACCAGAAGATATTGACCATTAAAATTATGAGAATTTCAATTCCCACTGTTCTCTTTCCATGACTACTGCAGCTATTGCTGCACATGGGGCAAGCAAAGCCTATGAAAGCTGGTCTGCCCTTCATTGCAGCCCTGTGTTGCCGCTGGCAAGGCAGTCCCCGGCCACGCTCCACCCTGAATGGTCTCTTGGCTCACCAGCCTGGGCATTTCCAAGGCCAGCATTGCAACGAGGAGGATCAGGTGGCAAGGTCAAGCAGTCCTGGGGTCTCCATTTGCAGTCACTTGGGGAATTCTGGGGCCCAAGACCCTTCCCCCAGATTCTGATCTAGGGAGACACAGAAACATCTGCATTTTTATTAAGGTACCAAAGCTGTCCCTGATGTGGACCTTGAATTTAGGCCCTGCCCTAGACTGAGGAAAGAATCCTCAAAGCAGTCTGAGGCACCCCTGTTCCTCAGGAGCCAGTGTCTGTGTTGCTGCCTTATACCTGCTGTGGCTTTGGAGAGATAGAACATCCCTTCCTCCCCACCTTCCACAGGGAGGTCAGGCCCTGCCTAACTGCTCCCTCCCTAAGGCCTCTATTCATCTCTTCCATCCGTGAAGGGCTAGTCTTTAATGACAACCAGATCATTTCCCATCTAGTTTTAAAGGATCTGATGCCACAGACTAGTGAAGGGAAGGCTTTAAGGGGAATGACCAAGTTGTGTTTTATAGAAAAGCTCCAGAGCTTTTATAAGATTTGAAAAGGGACTATGGCCCACAAAAATTTAAGAGACTTTGATTTGATTGCAAGGGCCCAGAACAGTAAGCCCTTGGGAGTTGGGTGGCAGAGTAGTGCTAGCTATACACTGTTGGCATGGCAGTCTCTGGCCATCTGAACAGTAGTAAGGAGGGAACTGTCGGCCACACAAATGTGAGCCCAGAAAAAGAGATGTCACCTCTTTGTGCAGCACAAGTTGGAATGCAGGTGACCCTCCAGGGTCTGTTGGCTTCCCAGCCTGCTGGGCAGGAATGGCAGTTTTGTAACACACAGGCCCTGATTTGGAAAGGGAGCCCCATGCGTGGCCTGTGAGTGCTCTGCCTGCAAATCAGATTTCACAGGGAGGTGGCTAGAAGGGACAAGCCAGATGGTACATGAAGTCAGCTGAGCAAAAGCATTCACCCAAAATAGAAAACAGGTGCAAATGGGTGGCCTCTCTGCCATTGTGCAAGCTGCACTGAACAAAGGGATTCCTGTTGGACTAACCCAGATTCTGAAATGCCATCTTAGTTACACAGCCTCTGGCCAGGGATGGGGCACCATGTGGACAAGGCAGGGCTTTGGTGGCCCGACCCAGGTGGTGAGGAGGAGGAGGGTGTGCTTCCCTCCTGCCCCATATTGGCTTCTGTTCTGCCATCTTTCTACATAGGTGAGCAGTTGTGCAGTTGCTGATGAGAGGCTGATGCTCATGCCACAGTGTTTTTAACAAAATGGCATTCAATAACTGCCAATTGAGAGAAAGCAAAGACCAAGTTGCCTGGGCCCTTCTGTGCAAAATCCCCATAATGGGGATTTGGTTGGAAGTGCATCATTTCAGAGAATGGGTCATGTTGTTGAGTGAAGTCGTTAAATGTTAACTTCAGAGAAGGAAGAGCTTTTATGTAGGACAGCAACTGAAGCAGAGCCCACCCAGCCAGGCTTCTCAGCCTCCTGTCAGTAGCCTGCCACTCAGTCCAGGGTTCTCATGTGAGCCTCTGCAGAGGAAGGGCGAGAGGGAGACTTGCTGTGAGCTGGGCACAGTGCCCAAGGCCCTCTTTCCTTGGCTGTCCAGTGTGAACACCAAGGAAACATTTCTTTCCATGTCAGAAGTGGAGATGGTTTACACAGAAAATGAAGAACATAGCCAGCATGTGTGCATCCACGTTTCACCCAGATGCTTCTGGAAGGTCCAGTAGGTATTGTGAGTTGGGCTAGGTCACCAGATTTAATCACCTACTCATCCTCCTACTCCCAGGAAACTCGAAAGCCTGATACCCTGACCAGAGACTGACTCTGGCCATTTTATCATCTGTTGGTGGTAGCTGTTTGAAACACAAGCTGAACAGGTCCAGAGTTAGGACCCAGCACAAGATGTCAGTATATGCTAGGTGGTTTTATTCCAATTTGGGGAAGTGTACAATGGACCAGAATTTCAACTTTAAGTTTCAGCAATAGGAAAATTTTCTTCCTGACCTTGAGAAAGGAAGCTGATCTACTCAGCCTCCATCATGTATTTTTAATAAATCAGGAAGGTGGAAGCAGCATTCTTTCTGGCTACAATCCAACTAGTCATAGCTAACAAATGGCATACTTGCACCAGGACCAGGTGCTGCTGCAGAACTGTGTCCACCTGGCAAGTTCCCCACTGCTTCATTTTCTAGGCAATGCATGAGGCCACACAGGGTTCTCTGCCTTTTGGCTGCTGTCTCTGCAGTAAATTCCTCTTCTGTTGGGAATGGTGCCTGGCATCTTGCAGTGCTGCGGCAAGAGTCAAGGGAAACAGGAATTCCTGTCAGGTACTAGAGCCCCCATCACTGGGGATATGCAAATAACCCACCACAAACTAGCCCATAGCCCATGTTTTATACTGAGTGAGATGTCACAGGGCCCTGAGAACCAAGGTTATTACAGATTTCCTAAAACTGCACGCTGCTTCCTTGAAGAGAGTGGTCCCTGGAGGTGGTCTGCTGATGGAAGGGCAGTGGTGCTGGATAAGTTATATACGATAACAGCTGTGTCAGGTGATAACAACATTTTCTGATTCCATGATTCAAACAATTCCCAGGAGTTGGGAAGGGGGGCTGGAATTCAAGGGGTGTGTAGTTGTAGTCCTTGAGGATTCTGACTCTTACTCAATTTATTTCATATTTTTGGCTTCTTAAGTGTTACCCTTCCCCTCTGGAAAAAGGCTTGCTAACTGTGTTGGTTCCCCTTCTCTGCCAGCAGGGACCTATCCAAGGGTCTGCATGAGAAGGGTTTCTGCCATCTTTCCCACTTGTGAGACAGATCTCCATTAAGCCTCAACAAATGCAGATGTCCCCTGCAGTGGTGGCTTCTCTGCCCCCCACTCTTTTATATTGGGTCTGACACAGCACTAGGAGTTCTTGGATTTACACTCTTTTCTGGCCCTAGAGGCCATAAGGCTGAAGAAGAGCCCAGGAGCCAGAGTTCGAAGATAAATGGCCAAGGAGGGCAACAGACTGGCCAGAATCACATCTTCCTTCTTCCTCCCCACAGCAGCAAGGACCTCCTGGGCCACCTCCACAGGGCTTCGTCCTTGGGCTGTGGTCTTGTCCATAACTAAAATAAACAAACAAAAGAAACACATGAGCTTGGAAACACAAGTCCCCTTCTCCTAAGGACTGGGCTGGTGTGAGCTGTCAGGTCAGCTGCTGCCTGTCCCTCCAGGAAGTGCCTCTGGAGTCTGTCAGAAAGCAAGCTGTGTGCCACCGCCCCTGACCAGTTTGTCCTCCAAGGACATGAGGAACCATTTTGTGGTTTCATGTGGGTAAGTCTGGGTAAGGGAAAGGTGAGTGAAATATGGGAACCCTAGTCCCACTTTGGAGTAGGACCAAAATGGCCACCTACCTGGTGGTCTCTGATGAGGCAGAAAAATAGCCTGGGGGTCTCTAAGATTGAGCTACTCAACTGCATATGATGGGGAGCATCTTGACCTTGCTGTTGCCTCTTGGAACCACCAATGACAAAGGCATGTTGTACCATCTCGTGTCTCAGAGAGCTTGGCTCCAGGGTGAAGACTGTATGACCCCATGTGCACTGCAAAGTCACTGAGGCAGGGACAGACAGATGTTTGGTCTCTGACCTGCATGTGGAGCCTGGCCTTTTAGCCTCATGATTCCAGGTCAGCTTAGTGCTCTCTGCGCATGAAGTGAAAGGGGAGTGAGCCTGCTACACCTCGCTTCCCCCGAAAATGAGGAATCACTTATTTTTCAAGTCTCCTTAGACCACTAAAGTCAAGCCCCTACACTTGTCATGAGATCAATTTACATAACCCTCATCCTTATAATAATACCCCCTTGGGGCCTGTGATCTGGGAGTGGGTTAGTTGGAAGTCTGGTGGCATTTCAGGTTAGGGACTTCCTTTCTACCCCCGAAAGTCATGCCCACAGGTGTCCTGTTCTGATGCTATGACCTTCAGGCTAAGAATAGTTCAAGGTTCAATGTTTCAATGAGTTGAAAATTATATTCAAAGTGAAATGACCAAAGAATCACTGAGGAAAGAGCAGTGTGTCTCACTGAACCCAATGAACAGGTTTTCATAGAAAAGAAACTGGGCCTTACCTCCATATCTGGACCCATCAGCCGTGATGGCATTCAGAGACAGGTTGGTATGGATGTAGCCGGGGCTGACAACAGTCACCTCAATTTCATACTGTTTCATCTCTGCACGCAGACAGTCAAAAAATGCCTGGGTTGCATGCTTAGAGGCCGCATCTATACATGTGGACATAGAGGCAGGCAAGTAAGTGGACAGGGTAGGGCCTACACCCACCCATCCAATCCTATTCACTCTCTTGTTTTGTACCTTGGCTTTATACTGTAAGATCACAGTTGTTTTGTTTTTTGAGATGGCATCTCACTTTGTCACCCTTAGTACAGTGCTATGGCATCACCACTCTCAGCAACCTCAAACTCCTGGGCTTAAGCAATTTTCTTGCCTCAGCCTCCCAAGTAGCTGGGACTACAGGTGCCTGCCACAATGCCTGGCTATTTTTAGAGACGGGGTCTCACTCTCGCTCAGGCTGGTCTCAAACCTATGAGCTCAGGCAATCCACCCGCCTCGGACTCCCAAGTGCTGGGATTACAGGCATGAGCCACCATGCCTGGCCCCAAAATCACAGTTTTATAGCAGTGTTCACTTTCTGGTTTTAAGAAGGGCACTGTGGGGGTGGTGCCTGTGGCTCAAAGGAGTAGGGCACTGGCCCCATATGCCAGAGGTGGCAGATTCAAACCCAGCCCCGACCAAAAACTGCAAAAAA